TAAAAATTTGACAAAATGGCAAAAATTCGACCAAAAATGGCAAAAATTCAATAAAATGGCAAAAATTGGACAAAAAACGGCAAAAATTCAACAAAAAATGGCAAAAATTCGACCGAAACCAGTGAAAATTTGACTGAAAATGGTGAAAATTGAACAAAATTGTGAAAATTCAACTGAAAATGGCAGAAATCCGGTAAAATAGCAAAAATTGGACAAAAACCAGGAAAAATTTGACAAATTCGCGAAAATTTGACCAAAAACGGTGAAAATTCGACCAAAAATGGTGAAAATTTGACGAAACGGCAAAAATTGGACTGAAAACAGCAAAAATTTGACAAAATGGCAAAAATTCGACCGAAACCAGTAAAAATTTGACCGGAAATGGTGAAAATTTGATGAAACGGCAAAAATTGGAGCGAAAACGGTGAAATTTTGACCAAAACAGCGAAAATTTGACAAAAAACAGCAAAAACTCGACAAAAAATGGCAAAAGTTTGACCTAAAATGGCAAAAATTCAAGAAAATGGCAAAAACTCTACCAAAAAGGGCGAAATTTTGATAAAACGGTGAAAAATTGACCGAAATTGGTGAAAATGCAACAAAATGGCAAAAATTTGACCAAAAACGGCAAAAATTTGACAAACAGGTGAAAATTTGACCGAAAATGACGGAAATTCGTTAAAATGGCAAAAAAATCGACCGAAAACTTTTAAAATTCGACCAAAAATGGTGAAAACTTGACCGAAAATGGCGAAAATTTGACCAAAAACGGTGAAAATTTGACAAATCAGTAAAAATTGGACAAAAACCGGTGAAAATCTGACAAAATGGTGAAAATTCGACAAAAACTGTGAAAATTTGACAAAATGGTGAAAATTCAACCAAAAATGGCGAAAATTTGACCAAAAACAGAACAAAATACGATAAAATGGCAAAAATTCGACCGAAAATGGCAGAAATTCGATAAAACGGCAAAAATTGGACAAAAAACAGCAAAAATTGGACAAAAAACGTCAACAATTTGACCAAAAATGGTGGAAATTTGACAAAAACTGTGAAAATTTGAAAAAATGGCAAAAAATTGACTGAAAACGTCAAAAATTCAACCAAATTTTTGCCATTTTCCATCGAATTTTTTTCCGTTTTTTTTCTCAAATTTTCTCCGTTTTTCATCAAATTTTGGCCGTTTTTCGTCCAATTTTCACCGTTTTTTGTCCAATTTTGGACCTTCTCCATGGACGTCTTCATGGAGGTCCATCAGGAACATCTCAAGAACTTCTTGGTGGATCTCCTCCAAATTTTCGCCATTTTGCCCCAAATCTTCACCATTTTTGGTCAAATTTCTGCCATTTTATCAAATTTTTACAGTTTTCGGTCAAATTTTTACCATTTTCAGTCAAATTTTTGCCGTTTTTGGTCCAATTTTCGACCTTCTCCATGGAGGTCCACCACGAACATCTCAAGAACTTCGTGGTGGACCTCCATGGAGATGGTCCATGGAGAAGGTCCAAAATTCGACGAAAAACGACCAAAAAATGGTGAAGATCCACCACGAAGTTCTCCATGATGTCCACCATGGAGGTCCACCACGAACATCTCGAGAACTTCATGGTGGACCTCCATGGAGAAGGTCCATGGAGAAGGTCCAAAATTGGACGAAAAACGGTGAAAATTGGACAAAAAATGACCAAAAAATGGTGGAGATCCACCTTGAAGTTCTCCTGAGGTTCTTCATGGAGGTCTACCACGAACATCTCAAGAACTTCGTGGTGGACCTCCATGGAGACCTTCAGGAGAACTTCATGGTGGACCTCCATGGAGAAGGTCCACGGTGGAAAGTCAACAATGGACGTTCTCCATGGATGTCCACCACCATCTTCTCCTGAAGGTCTCCATGGAGGTCCACCACGAAGTTCTCCACGATGTCCACCATGGAGGTCCACCACGAACATCTCAGGAACTTCGTGGTGGACCTCCACCATTTTTTCGCCCTTTTCCGTGGAATTTTGGACCTTCTCCATGGACCTTCATGGAGAAACTCAGGAGAAATTTTTGGTGGATCTTCATCAAATTTTGGCCGTTTTTCGTCCAATTTTCGCCGTTTTTTGGCCAATTTTGGACCTTCTCCATGAAGGTCCACCACGAAGTTCTCGAGATGTTCCTGGTGGACCTCCATGGTGGACCTCCATGGAGAACCTCAGGAGAACTTCATGGTGGATCTTCACCATTTTTTGGCCGTTTTTCGTCCAATTTTCTCTGTTTTTTGGCCAATTTTGGACCTTCTCCATGGACCTTCTCCATGGAGGTCCACCACGAAGTTCTCGAGATGTTCCTGGTGGACCTCCATGGTGGACATCCATGGAGAACTTCAGGAGAACTTCATGGTGGATCTTCACCATTTTTTGGCCGTTTTTTGGCCAATTTTGGACCTTCTCCATGGACCTTCTCCATGGAGGTCCACCATGAAGTTCTCCAGATGTTCGTGGTGGACCTCCATGATGGACCTTCATGGTGGACCTTCATGGAGAACTTCATGGTGGATCTTCACCATTTTTTGGTCGTTTTTCGTCCAATTTTTGCCGTTTTTGTCCAATTTTGGACCTTCTCCTTGGAGGTCCACCATGAAGTTCTCGAGATGTTCGTGGTGGACCTCCATGGTGGACATCCATGGTGGACCTTCATGGAGAACTTTTTGGTGGATCTCCACGATTTTCTGGCCGTTTTCATCCAATTTTAGCCGTTTTTGTCCAATTTTGGACCTTCTCATGGAGATCCACCACGAAGTTCTCGAGATGTTCGTGGTGGACCTCCATGGTGGACCTCCATGAAGAACCTCAGGAGAACTTTTTGGTGGATTTTCACCATTTTTTAGCCGTTTTTTGGCCAATTTTGGACCTTCTCCATGGACCTTCTCCATGGAGGTCCACCACGAAGTTCTCGAGATGTTCCTGGTGGACCTCTATGGTGGACCTCCATGGTGGACCTCCATGGTGGACCTCATGAAGAACTTCATGGTGGATCTTCACCGTTTTTTGGCCCTTTTTCGTCCAATTTTCGCCGTTTTTCGTCCAATTTTGGACCTTCTCCATGGAGGTCCACCATGAAGTTCTCGAGATGTTCGTGGTGGACCTCCATGGTGGACATCATGGTGGATCTCCACCATTTTTTGGCCGTTTTTCATCAAATTTTCGCCGTTTTTCGGCCAATTTTGGACCTTCTCCATGGAGGTCCACCAGGAAGTTCTCGAGATGTTCATGGTGGACCTCCATGGTGGACATCCATGGTGGACATCATGGAGAACCTCAGGAGAACTTCTTGGTGGATCTCCACCATTTTTTGGTCGTTTTTCGTCCAATTTTTGCCGTTTTTTGTCCAATTTTGGACCTTCTCCATGGACCTTCTCCATGGAGGTCCACCATGAAGTTCTCGAGATGTTCGTGGTGGACCTCCATGGTGGACATCCATGGTGGATCTCCACCATTTTTTGGCCGTTTTTTGTCCAATTTTCACCATTTTTCGGCCAATTTCGGACCTTCTCTATGGACCTTCTCCATGGAGGTCCACCACGAACTTCTCGAGATGTTCGTGGTGGACCTCCATGGTGGATCTCCACCATTTTTTGGCCGTTTTTCGTCCAATTTTCGCCGTTTTTTCTCCAATTTTCGACCTTCTCCACCAAAACCCCACCAGGAGTTCCCACCCCACCACCCAGCAGAAGACATCCCACCGCTCCCCGTTACCTAGACCTCGACCTAGTTATGGCCTTGATCTCCTTCTTCTCCTCGTCCTCCATCTTCTTCTTCTCCTCCTTCACCTCCTGGAGGTTCTCGTCCCCTTCATCGTCCGACTTCATCTCCGAACTCCCCGAGGACACTCCGGTGGCCACTCCTGGAGGAGAAGACATCATCAACATCTCCAGAACATCGTGGTGGACCTCCAAAAAATGTTCCTCGTCCCATAAAGAGGTCTTCTTCTGGTCCAAAATCCACCAAATTTTGTGGGTGGTGTCTCCACCTCCATAAGTTTCTTTCTCCACCTCCAAAGATCTCCTTTGGTGGACCTTCATCAATGTTCTCCAGGTGGACCTTCAGAAGGTTCTCCAAAGGTTCTCCACCCACCCAGAAGGTCCCAAATCCACCAAATTTTGGGGGTGGAGTCACTACCTCCATAAGTTTCTTTCTCCAACTTCAATCCCACCAAAACATCTCCAAAGTTCTCCTTTGGTGGACCTTCATGAGGTTCTCCAAAGGTTCTCCACCCACCCAGAAGGTCCCAAATCCACCAAATTTTTGGGGTGGAGTCTCCACCTCCATAAGTTTCATCATCCACCTCCAAAGTTCTCCTTTGGTGGACCTTTATGAGGTTCTCCAGGTGGACCTTCATAAGGTTCTCCAAAGGTTCTCCACCCACCCAGAAGGTCCCAAATCCACCAAATTTTTGGGGTGGAGTCTCCACCTCCATAAGTTTCTTTCTCCACCTCCAAAGTTCTCCTTTGGTGGACCTTCATGAGGTTCTCCAGGTGGACCTTCATGAGGGTCTTCTGAAGTTCTTCACCCACCCAGAAGGTCCCAAATCCACCAAATTTTTGGGGTGGAGTCTCCACCTCCATAAGTTTCTTTCTCCAACTCCAAAGTTCTCCTTTGGTGGACCTTCAGAAGGTTCTCCAGGTGGACCTTCAGAAGGTTCTCCAAAGGTTCTCCACCCACCCAGAAGGTCCCAAATCCACCAAATTTTTGGGGTGGAGTCTCCACCTCCATAAGTTTCTTTTTGAAGCTCCAAAGTTCTCCTTTGGTGGACCTTCATGAGGTTCTCCTTTGGTGGACCTTCATGAGGTTCTCCAAAGGTTCTCCACCCACCCAGAAGGTCCCAAATCCACCAAATTTTTGGGGTGGAGTCTCCACCTCCATAAGTTTCATCATCCACCTCCAAAGTTCTCCTTTGGTGGACCTTTATGAGGTTCTCCAGGTGGACCTTCATAAGGTTCTCCAAAGGTTCTCCACCCACCCAGAAGGTCCCAAATCCACCAAATTTTTGGGGTGGAGTCTCCACCTCCATAAGTTTCTTTCTCCACCTCCAAAGTTCTCCTTTGGTGGACCTTCATGAGGTTCTCCAGGTGGACCTTCATGAGGGTCTTCTGAAGTTCTTCACCCACCCAGAAGGTCCCAAATCCACCAAATTTTTGGGGTGGAGTCTCCACCTCCATAAGTTTGTTTTTCCACCTCCAAAGTTCTCCTCTGGTGGACCTTCATGAGGTTCTCCAGGTGGACCTTCAGAAGGTTCTCCAAAGGTTCTCCACCCACCCAGAAGGTCCCAAATCCACCAAATTTTGTGGGTGGAGTCTCCACCTCCATAATTTTGTTTCTCCACCTCCAAAGTTCTCCTTTGGTGGACCTTCATGAGGTTCTCCAGGTGGACCTTCAGAAGGTTCTTCAAAGGTTCTCCACCCACTCAGAAGGTCCCAAATCCACCAAATTTTTGGGGTGGAGTCTCCACCTCCATAAGTTTGTTTTTCCACCTCCAAAGTTCTCCTCTGGTGGACCTTCAGAAGGTTCTCCAGGTGGACCTTCAGAAGGTTCTCCAAAGGTTCTCCACCCACCCAGAAGGTCCCAAATCCACCAAATTTTTGGGGTGGAGTCTCCACCTCCATAAGTTTCTTTTTGAAGCTCCAAAGTTCTCCTTTGGTGGACCTTCAGAAGGTTCTCCAGGTGGACCTTCATCAATGTTCTCCAAAGGTTCTCCACCCACCCAGAAGGTCCCAAATCTACCAAATTTTTGGGGTGGAGTCTCCACCTCCATAAGTTTCTTTCTCCACCTCCAAAGTTCTCCTCTGGTGGACCTTCAGAAGGTTCTCCAGGTGGACCTTCAGAAGGTTCTCCACCCACCCAGAAGGTCCCAAATCCACCAAATTTTTGGGGTGGAGTCTCCACCTCGATAAGTTTCTTTCTCCACCTCCAAAGTTCTCCTTTGGTGGACCTTCATGAGGTTCTCCTGGTGGACCTTCATGAGGTTCTTCAAAGGTTCTCCACCCACCCAGAAGGTCCGAAATCCACCAAATTTTTGGGGTGGAGTCTCCACCTCCATAAGTTTCTTTCTCCACCTCCGAAGTTCTCCTGGTGGACCTTCATCAATGTTCTCGAGGTGGACCTTCAGAAGGTTCTCCAAAGGTTCTCCACCCACCCAGAAGGTCCCAAATCCACCAAATTTTTGGGGTGGAGTCTCCACCTCCATAAGTTTGTTTTTCCACCTCCAAAGTTCTCCTTTGGTGGACCTTCATGAGGTTCTCCAGGTGGACCTTCAGAAGGTTCTCCAAAGGTTCTCCACCCACCCAGAAGGTCCCAAATCCACCAAATTTTTGGGGTGGAGTCTCCATCTCCATAAGTTTCTTACTCCACCTCCAAAGTTCTCCTTTGGTGGACCTTCAGAAGGTTCTCCAGGTGGACCTTCAGAAGGTTCTCCAAAGGTTCTCCACCCACCCAGAAGGTCCCAAATCCACCAAATTTTTGGGGTGGAGTCTCCACCTCCATAAGTTTCTTTTTGAAGCTCCAAAGTTCTCCTTTGGTGGACATTCATGAGGTTCTCCAAAGGTTCTCCACCCACCCAGAAGGTCCCAAATCCACCACATTTTGTGGGTGGAGTCTCCACCTCCATAAGTTTATTTCTGAAGGTCCAAAGTTCTCCTGGTGGACCTTCAGAAGGTTCTCCAGGTGGACCTTCATGAGGTTCTCCAAAGGTTCTCCACCCACCCAGAAGGTCCCAAATCCACCAAATTTTTGGGGTGGAGTCTCCACCTCCACAAGTTTCTTTCTCTACCTCCAAAGTTCTCCTTTGGTGGACCTTCAGAAGGTTCTCCAGGTGGACCTTCATAAGGTTCTTCTGAAGTTCTTCACCCACCCAGAAGGTCCCAAATCCACCAAACTTTTGGGGTGGAGTCTCCACCTCCATAAGTTTCTTTCTCCACCTCTAAAGTTCTCCTGGTGGACCTTCAGAAGGTTCTCCAGGTGGACCTTCAGAAGGTTCTTCAAAGGTTCTCCACCCACCCAGAAGGTCCCAAATCCACCAAATTTTTGGGGTGGAGTCGTCACCTCCATAAGTTTCTTTCTCCACCTCCAAAGTTCTCCTGGTGGACCTTCATCAATGTTCTCCAAAGGTTCTCCACCCACCCAGAAGGTCCCAAATCCACCAAATATTTGGGGTGGAGTCTCCACCTCCATAAGTTTCTTTCTCCTCCTCCAAAGTTCTCCTGGTGGACCTTCATGAGGTTCTCCAGGTGGACCTTCAGAAGGTTCTCCAAAGATTCTCCACCCACCCAGAAGGTCCCAAACCCACCAAATTTTTGGGGTGGAGTCTCCACCTCCATAAGTTTCTTTCTCCAACTCCAAAGTTCTCCTTTGGTGGACCTTCAGAAGGTTCTCCAGGTGGACCTTCATGAGGTTCTCCAAAGGTTCTCCACCCACCCAGAAGGTCCCAAATCCACCAAAATGGCCAAAATTTGACCGAAAACGGCAAAAATTTGACCAAAAATGGCAAAAATTGGACAAAAAATGGCAAAAATTCGACAAAACGGCGAAAATTGTCGTAAAAATGTCAAATTTTGACATAAAACCCCCAAATTTTCAGAAAAAAACCCCAAAATTTGGAATTTTCACCCCAAAATCCTAAAACCCAAAATCCCAAACCCCAAAATTTGGGGAAAAAAGTCCCAAAATTTTGCTCCAAAATCGCCAAAACTCTTCCAAAAAACGCTCAAAAATCATCATAAAATCCCCAAATTTTCGCCAAAAAACCCCAAAATTTGAGGTTTTCACCCCAAAATCCCAAATCCCGAAAACCCCAAAATCCCAAATCTCAAACCCCAAAATTTGGGACAAAAGACCCCAAAACTCTTCCAAAAAACACCCAAATTTTGACGTAAAAATGCCAAAAATTGTTGTAAAAATGTCAAATTTTGACATAAAATCGTTAAATTTTGACATAAAATCCCCAAATTTTCACCAAAAAACCCCAAAATTTGGGATTTTCACCCCAAAACCGCAAAATCCCAAAATTTAGGGCAAATAACACCAAAAAATCATCGTAAAATCGCCGAAAATCATCATAAAACCATCAAATTTTGACCTATAATCGTCGAATTTTGACGTAAAATCCTCAAATTTTCACCAAAAAACCCCAAAATTTGGGATTTTCACCCCAAAATCCCAAATCTCTTCCAAAAAACACCCCAAATCATCGTGAAATCATCCAATTTGGATGTAAAATTGTCAAATTTTTGCCAAAATTGTCAAATTTTGATGGAAAAACCCCCAAATTTTCACCAAAAACCCCCAAAATTTGGGTTTTTCACCCCAAAACCCCAAACCCCAAAATCCTAAAATCCCAAATCCCAAATCCCAAAATTTGGGGAGAAAAACCCAAAAATTGTTGTAAAATCGTCGAATTTGGATGTAAAATCGTCAAATTTTGACACAAAATCATCAAATTTTTGCCAAAAAACCCCAAAATTTTTTGGGGAAAAATCCCAAAATTTGGAATTTTCACCCCAAAATCCCAAAATCCCAAATCCCAAAATTTGGGGAGAATAACACCCAAAAATTGTCCTTAAATTGCCGAAAATCATCATAAAATCACCAAAAATCATCATAAAACCATCAAATTTTGACGTAAAATCCTCAAATTTTTACCAAAAACCCCCAAATTTGGGATTTTCACCCCAAAATCCCAAATCCCAAAATTTGGGGTGAATAACACCAAAAAATCATCATTAAATTTCCAAAAATCATCATAAAACCATCAAATTTTCACCAAAAAACCCAAAATTTGGGTTTTTCACCCCAAAACCCCAAAATCCCAAATCCCAAAATTTGTGGAGAAAAACACCCAAAAATCATCATAAAATCACCGAAAATTGTCATAAAACCGTCAAATTTTGACATAAAATCATCAAATTTTCGCCAGAAAACCCCAAAATTTGGGGGAAAATCCTAAAATTTGTGATTTTTGCCCCAAAACCCCAAACCCCAAAACTCTTCCAAAAAACACCCAAAAATTGTCAGGAAATTGTCCAATTTGGACATAGAATCGTGAAATTTTGACGTAAAAACCCCAAATTTTGGGGGAAAAAAATCCCAAAATTTGGGATTTTCACCCCAAAACCCCAAAATCCCAAATCCCAAAATTAGGGGAGAAAATCGCTGAAAATCATCATAAAACCGTCAAATTTTGACATAAAATCATCAAAATTTGACCTAAAAACCCCAAATTTTCACCAAAAAAACCCAAAATTTGGGATTTTCACCCCAAAATCCCAAACGCCATAACCCCAAAATCCCAAATCTCAAACCCCAAAATTTGGGGAAAATGATCCCAAAACTCTTCCAAAAAAACCCCAAATTTTGACGTAAAAATGCCAAAAACTGTCATAAAAATGTCAAATTTTAACGTAAAATCGTCAAATTTTTGCCAAAAAACCCCCAAAATTTGGGGGAAAAATCCCAAAATTCGGAGGTTTCACCCCAAAAACACAAAATCCCAAAATTTAGGGCGAACAACACCAAAAAATCATCATTAAATCACCAAAAATCATCATAAAACCATCAAATTTTGACGTAAAATCGTCAAAATTTGACGTAAAACCCCCAAATTTTTGGGGAAAAGTCCCAAAATTTGGGATTTTCACCCCAAAACCCCAAACCCCAAAACCCCAAAATCCCAAATCCCAAAATTTGGGGAAAAAAATCCCAAATTTTGACTCGAAATGGTCGAAAATCGTCAAATCGTCAAATTTTGACGTAAAATCCTCAAATTTTTGCCAGAAACCCCCAAATTTTCACCAAAACTCCCCAAAATTTGGGATTTTTAGGATTTTCACCCCAAAATCCCAAATCCCAAAACTTGTGGAGAAAAACACAAAAAAATTGTCATAAAATCACCGAAAATTGCCATAAAACCGTTAAATTTTGACATAAAATCGTCAAATTTTGACCTAAAATTCCCAAATTTTCACCAAAAACCCCCAAATTTGGGATTTTCAGCCCAAAAATCCCCAAACCCCAAAACCCCAAAATCCCAAATTTTACGAAGAAAACGCCAGAAAATCGTTATAAAATCGCCAAAAATTGTCATAAAACCGTCAAATTTTTACATAAAATCGTCAAATTTTGACATAAAAACCCCAAATTTTTTGCAAAAAAATCCCCAATTTTTTTTTTTTTGACCCAGATCCCACCAAAAATCCCTAAAAATCCCAATTTTTTTTCGGATTTCCGGTTCCTCACCCCTGTAGGGGTCCTGGTGAAGCTCCGGCGAGGCGGCGGAAGTCACCGGAAGCGTCGGCACCGGGATTTGGTTGGGGAGCAGAGAATGGGCCGAACGTCCGGAGGCGACGGAATCGTCGCGGTGAGCGGCCAACGGAGCGGCGGGAGGGACGTGCCGGTGAGAAATCTGAGAAAAAATTAAAATTTAAAAAAAAAATTAGTTAGTTTGATCAAAATTAAAAAAAATTGTGGTAAAATTGGGAAATGTTGAAGATTGGAAAAAAAAAATTCGAAATTCGGAAATCCCAAGAGATTGAAATGAGAAATGCCAAATTTTTTGAATTTCAAAATCCCCAAAATGCCAAAATTCTGAAATCCCAAAATTTAAAAATCCCCAAAATCCCAAAATTCTGAAATCCCAAAATTTCAAAACCCCAAAATTATGAAATCCCAATATTTCAAAATCCCAAAATTCCAAAATTTTTTAAATTAAAAAATACCAAAATCCCGAACTTTTGAAATCCCAAAATCCCAAAATTTCAAAATCCCCAAAATCCCAAAATTTTAATATCCCCAAATCCCAAAACTTTGAAAATCCCAACATTCCAAAATCCCGAAATTTTGAAGTACCCAAATCCCAAAATCCCAAAATTTCAAAATCCCCAAAATCCAAAAATTCCAAAATTCCAAAATCCTGAAATCCCCAAAATTCTGAAATCCCCAAATCTCAATATTTCAAAATCCCAAAATTCCAAAATTCCAAAATCCCCAAAATCCCAAAATTTCAAAATTCCAACATTTCAAACCCCCAAAATTCTGAAATCCCAAAATGCCAAAATATTGAAATCCCCAAAATCCCAAAAATCCCCGAATTCTGAAATCCCCAAATCCAAAAAATTCTAAATCCCAAAATCTCAAATTTTTGAAATATCCAAAAATCCCAAAATCCCCAAATCCTAAAATTCTGAAATCCCCAAAATCCCCAAATTTTGAAATCTCAAAATCCCAAAATTCCGAAATCCCAACATTCCAAAATCCCCAAATACCAAAATTTTTAAATCCCCAAAATTCCAAAATTTTGAAATCTCAAAATTTCAAAATCCCAAAATTCTGAAATCCCCAAAATCCAAACATTTCAAAATCGCAAAATTTCAAAATCCCAAAATCCCAAAATTTCAAAATCCCAAAATCCTAAAATCCCCAAATCTCAAAATTTCAAAATCCCCAAAATCACAAAATTTCAAAATCCCAAAATTCTGAAATGCCCAAAATCCCAACATTTCAAAATCCTAAAATTCTGAAATCCCCAAATCCCCAAATCCCAAACTTCCAAAATCCCGAAATTCTGAAATCCTCAAAATCTCAAAATTCTGAAATCCCCAAAATCCCAAAATTCTGAAATCCCAAAAATTCCAAAATTTTTGAAATTTAAAAGTCCCAAAATACCAAAATTTTTAAATCCGAAAATACCAAAATTCTGAAATCCCCAAAATCCAAAAATTCTGAATCCCCCAAATTTCAAAATCCCCAAAATCCAAAAAATTTTAAATCCCAAAATCCCAAAATTTTGAAGTCCCCAAATCGCAAAATTTCGAAATCCCAAAATTTCAAGATTCCAAAATCCCAAAATTTCAAAATCCCCAAAATTATTAAATCCCAAAATATCAAAATTCCAAAATCCCAAAATTCTGAAATCCCCAAAATCAAAAAATTCTGAATCCCCAAAATTTCCAAATCCCCAAAATACCAAAATTCTGGAATCCCCAAATTTCAAAATTCCAAAATTTCAAAATCCCAAAATCCTGAAATCCCCAAAATCCCAAAATTTCAAAATTCCCAAAATCATGAAATTTTAATATCCCAAAATCCCAAAAGTTCAAAATCCCCAAATTCCAAAATCCCAAAATTCTGAAATCCCCAAAATCAAAAAATTCTGAATCCCCAAAATTTCAAAATCCCCAAAATACCAAAATTTCGAAATCCCCAAAATCCCAAAATCATGAAATCCCCACAATAAAAAAATTTCAAAATTGCAAAATTCTGAAATCCCAAAATCCCCAAATTTCAAAATCCTAAAATTTAAAAATCCCAAAATCCCCAAATTTTGAAATCTCAAAATTTCAAAATCCCCAAATTCTGAAATCCCAAAATCCCCAAATTCTGAAATCCCCCAAGGGAGGGGCGGGAGGGACGTGCCGGTGAGAAATCTGAGAAAAATAAAAAATCCCCCCAAAAAATTCGTCAATTTAAATGAAATTCATAAAAATTCTGGTGAAATTTCGGAAAAAAAAATTTCGGAATTCGGAGATGGCAAAAGACTGAAATGGTAAATTTCAAAATATTTCAAATCTTGAAATCCTCAAATTCCAAATTTCAAAATTCCAAAATCCTGAAATGCCCAAATCCCAAAATCCCCAAATTTCAAAACCCCCAAATTCTGAAATCCCCAAAATCACAAAATTATGAAATCCCCAAAATCCCAAAATTCCAAACTCCCAAAATTCAGAAATCCCCAAAATCTCAAAATTTCCAAACTCCCAAAATCCCAAACTCCCAAAATTCTGTAATCCCCAAAATCCCAAAATCCCAAAATTCCAAAATTTTTTAGAATAAAAAATACCAAAATCCCGAAATTTTGAAATCCCCAAATTCCAAAATCCTAAAATTTGGAAATCCCCAAAATCCCAAAATTTCAAAATCCCACAATTCTGAAATCCCCAAATTTCAAAATTCTGAAATCCCAAAATTCTGAAATCCCCAAATCCTGAATCCCCCAAAATGTCAAAATCCCCAAAATCCCAAAATCCCCAAATTCTGAAATCCCAAAATCCCAAAATTCTGAAATCCCCCAAGGGAGGGGCGGGCGGGACGTGCCGGTGAGAAATCTGACAAAAAATACAAAAAAAAATTAAAATTTGTCAATTTGATCGAAATTTGAAAAAATTTTGTTGAAATTTGGTAATTGTAGAGTTTGGAAATAAAAAAAAAATCGAAATTTGGAGGTTCAAAAGGTTGGAATGGTAATTTTCAAAATATTTCAAATTTTGAAATCCTCAAAATCCCAAAATTTCAAAATTCTAAAATCCTGAAATCCCCAAAATCCCAAAATTTCAAACACCCAAAATTCTGAAATCCCCGAATTTCAAAATCCCCAAAATCCCAAAATTTCAAAATCCTGAAATTCCCAAAATTCTAAAATTTCAAAATCCCGAAATTATGAATCCCCCAAAATTTAAAAATCCCAAAATTCTGAAATCCCAAAATTCCAAAATTTCAAAATCCAAAAATCCTAAAATCCCCAAAAATCCCAAAATCCTAAAATTCTGAAATCCCCAAAATTCCAAAATTTTAAAATCTCATAACCCCAAAATCCCAAAATTATTAAATCCCAAAACCCCAAAATTTCAAAATCCTAAAATTCTGAAATCCCCAAAATCCCAAAATTTCAAAACCCCAAAATGTCAAAATCCCCAAAATCCCAAAATTATGAAATCCCCAAATTTCAAAATTCCCAAAACCACAAAATTATGAAATCCCCAAATTTCAAAATTCCAAAATCCTGAAATCCCCAAAATCCCAAAATTTCAAAATCCCCAAAATCCCAAAATTTTGAAATCCCAAAAATCCCCAAATTCTGAAATCCCCAAAATCCCCAAATTCTGAAATCTTGAAATCCAAAATTTCGAAATGCCCAAATCCCAAAATGTCAAAATCCCAATTTTTCCAAATCCCAGCACTCCAAAATCCCCAAATTCCAAAATCCCCAAATACCAAAATTTTGAAATCCTAAAATACCAAAATTATGAAATCCCCAAAATCCAAAAATTCCAAAATCGCAAAATTTTGAAATTCCAAAAACCCAAAATTTTGAAATTCCAAAATACCAAAATTCCAAAATCCCAAAATTTCAAAATCCACAAAATCCCAAAATTTTGAAATCCCAAAAATCTGAAACCCCAAAATCCCAAAATTTGGGGGAAAAAACCCCCAAAATTAATTGAAAAAAACCCCAAACTTTGAAGTAAAATCATCAAATTTTGACATAAATTTGTCAAATTTTTGCCTAAAATCGTCAAATTTTCACCAAAAAACCCCAAAATTTGGGTTTTTCACCCCAAAACTCCAAATCCCAAAACCCCAAAATCCCAAATCCAAAATCCCAAAATTTTGGGAGAAAAACGGCAAAAAAGTGTCGTAAAATCGTCGTAAAATCGTCACATTTTGACGTAAAAACGTCAAATTTTCGCCAAAAAAACCCAATTTTTGGGGGGAAAATTCCCAAATTTTGGGTTTTTCACCTCAAAATCCCAAATTTAAAACCCCAAAATTTGGAGGGAAAAACGGCCAAAAATCGTTGTAAAGTCGTCAAATTTTGTCGTAAAATCGTCAAATTTTGTCGTAAAATCGTCAAATTTTCGCCTAAAATTGTCAAATTTTCACCAAAAAACCCCAAAATTTGGGATTTTCACCCCAAAACCCCAAAGCCCAAAACCCCAAAATCCCAAATCCAAAATCCCAAAATTTTGGGAGAAAAACGGCAAAAAAGTGTCGAAAAATGGCCGAAAATCGTCGTAAAATCGTCAAATTTTGACGTAAAATCGTCAAATTTTCGCCTAAAATCGTCAAATTTTGACCAAAAATGTCCAAATTTTTGGGGGAAAATCCACAAATTTTGGGTTTTTGAGTCCAAAATCCCAAATCTCAAAATTCCAAAATTTGGTGAAAAAAACCGCCAAATTTTGACTCAAAATGGCCGAAAATCGTCGTAAAATCGTCAAATTTTGTCGTAAAATCGTCAAATTTTGATGTAAAATTGTCAAATTTTCACGTAAAATCGTCAAATTTTGACCAAAAAAAACCCAAAATTTGAGATTTTTACCCCAAAATCCCAAATCTAAAACCCCAAAATTTGGGGAGAAAAACACCCAAAAATCGCCGTAAACTCGTCAAAAATCGTCGTAAAATCGTCGAATTTTGTCGTAAAATCGTCAAATTTTCACCTAAAATCGTCAAATTTTGACCAAAAATGTCCAAATTTTTGGGGAAAAAAACCCAAAATTTGGGATTTTCACCCCAAAACACCAAGTCTAAAAACCCAAAATTTTGGGAGAAAAACGGCAAAAAAGTGTCGTAATATCGACAAAAATCATTGTAAAATGATCAAATTTTGTTGTAAAATCGTCAAATTTTCACCGAAAATCATCTAATTTTCACCAAAAAACTCCAAATTTTTTTTTGAAATGTCCCAATTTTTTGGTTTTTCACCTCAAAACCCCAAATCTAAAACCCCAAAATTTGGGGAGAAAAATGCCCAAAAATCGCCATAAACTCGTCAAAAATCGTCGTAAAATCGTCAAATTTTGTCGTAAAATCGTCAAATTTTCACCTAAAATCATCAAATTTTCACCAAAAATCTCCAAATTTTTGGGGGAAAATCCACAAATTTTGGGATTTTCACCCCAAAATCCCAATTCTAAAACCCCAAAATTTTGGTAGAAAAACGGCAAAAAAGTGTCGTAAAATCATCAAATTTTGTCGTAAAATCGTCAAATTTTCGCGTAAAACCGTCAAATTTTCACCAAAAATCTCCAAATTTTTTTGGTAAAAATCCCAAATTTTGGGTTTTTCACCCCAAAATCCCAAATCTAAAACCCCAAAATCTGGGGAGAAAAACGCTCAAAAATCGTCATAAAATCGTCGTAAAATCGTCAAATTTTGTCGTAAAATCGTCGAATTTTGACGTAAAATCGTCGAATTTTCACCAAAAATCTCCAAATTTTTTTTTGAAATGTCCCAAAATTTGGGATTTTCACCTCAAAATCCCAAATCTAAAACCCCAAAATTTTGGTAGAAAAATGCCCAAAAATCCTCGTAAAATCGTCGTAAAATCGTCAAATTTTGTCATAAAATCGTCAAATTTTCGCCTAAAATCGTCAAATTTTCACCAAAAAACTCCAAATTTTTTTTGGGAAAGACCCAAATTTTGGGTTTTTCACCCCAAAATCTCACCATGAGGCGATTGGCCTGGATCCCGGCGCCGTAAGCGGCGGCGTGGGGCTCCCCGGCGCCCACGGCGTGGTTGCGAAGGACGAGCCCCAATCCCAAAAATGGCAAAATTCGGAAGGTCAAAAACCCCAAAATTTGGGATTTTCACCCCAAAAATCCCAAATCTGAAACCCCAAAATTTGGGGGAAAAAAATCGCAAAATTCTGCCAAAAAATTGGCAAAATTTGTCATAAAATTGTCAAATTTTCGCCTAAAATGGTCAAATTTTCGCCTAAAATCGTCGATTTTTGACATAAAATCGTCAAATTTTCACCAAAAAAACCCAAAATTTGGGATTTTCACCCCAAAACACCAAATGTCAAAATTCCAAAATTTGGTGAAAAAAACCCCAAATTTTGACTCAAAATGGCCAAAAATCGTCATAAAATCGTCGAATTTTGTCGTAAAATCGTCAAATTTTGTCGTAAAATCGTCAAATTTTGTCGTAAAATCATCAAATTTTCTCCTAAAATTGTCAAATTTTCACCAAAAAAACCCAAAATTTGGGATTTCACCCCAAAACTCGAAATCTAAAACCCCAAAATTTGGTGAAAAAAACCCCCAAATTTTGACATAAAATCACAAAAAATTGTCATAAAATCGTCAAATTTTCGCGTAAAATCGTCAAATTTTCACCAAAAAAACACCAAATTTTTTTGAGGAAAATCCCAAATTTTGGGTTTTTCACCCCAAAAATCCCAAATCACAAACCCCAAAACTCTTCCAAAAAACAACCAAAAATTGTCGTAAAATCATCAAATTTTGTCATAGAATCGTCAAATTTTCACCTAAAATCGTCAAATTTTCACCAAAAAACTCCAAATTTTTTTTGGAAAAGACCCAAAATTGGGGTTTTTCACCCCAAAATCTCACCATGAGGCGATTGGCCAGGATCCCGGCGCCGTAAGCGGCGGCGTGGGGCTCCCCGGCGCCCACGGCGTGGTTGCGAAGGACGTGGATGGCGTCGTCCAAACGCTCCAGACGGTCCTCGATGCGGCTCTGGGGGGAAAGCCCGAAAAATTTTGGGGGATTTTTGGGGGTTTTGGGGTTTTTTGGGATTTTGGGAGATTTTTGGGATTTTTTACGGTTTTTTTAGGGTTTTTTTTCTGATTTTTGGGGGATTTTTTGCATCATTTTTGGGTTTTTTAGGTATTTTTTTGGGATTTTTTGGGGGTTTTTGGGATCATTTTTGGGGTTTTTTAGGGGTTTTTTTTTTTGGTTTTTTTGGCATTTTTGGGGAATTTTTTTGCGTCATTTTTGGAGCATTTTTGGGGGATTTTTTGGAGGATTTTTTTTGGTTTTTTGGGAAATTTTTGGGGGTTTTTGGGGATTTTTTTGGGGGATTTTTGGCTTTTTTTGTGGGTTCTTTGGGGAATTTTGGGGGGTTTTTCGGATGATTTTTGGGGGATTTTGGGGCTTTATAGGGATTTTTTCGGGTTTTTGGGGTTTTTTTTGAGGATTTTTGGATTATTTTTGGAGGTTTTTTTGGGTTTTTTTAGGGATTTTCTTGGCATTTTGGGGGTCATTTTTGGGGTTTCTGGGATTTTTTGGGGGTTGTTTGGGATTTTTTGGGGATTTTTTTGGGGACTTTTTGGGATTTTTTTTGCCTTTTTATGGATTTTTTGGGTATTTTTGGGGGTTTTAGGGGTTTTTTTGGGGTCATTTTTAGGGTTTTTTTTAGGGTTTTTTGGGGATTTTTTTGGGATTTTTTTAGGAATTTTTTAGGCATTTTTGGGGTCAATTCTGGGGGTTTTTTAGGATTTTTTGGGAGATTTTTGGGGTTTGTTTGGGTTTTTTGGGGGTCATTTTGGGTTTTTTTGGGTTTTTTTTTCCAGGCGGTCCTCGATGCGGCTCTGAGGGGAAAGCCCAAAAAATTTTGGGGGATTTTTGGGGGGTTTTGGGGTTTTGGGGATTTTTGGGGGTTTTGGGTTTTTTTTGGGGTCTTTTGGGGATTTTTTGGGATTTTTTACGGGATTTTTCGGGGGATTTTTAGGTTTTTTTTGAGGGTTTTTGGGGGGTTTTTGGGGAAATCTTTGGGGTTTTTTTAGGAAGTTTTTGGGGTTTTTTGTGGTCATTTTGGGGTTTTTTGGGGTCATTTTTGGTGTTTTTGGGATTTTTTTGGGGATATTTAGGGATTTTTTGGGGATTTTTGGAGGTTTTTTTGGGGTATTTTGGGGAGATTTTTAGGGTTTTTGGGGAAATTTTCCAGGTTTTTCGTGATTTTTTTGGGGGGGATTTTTGGGGGATTTTCGGGTTTTTTGGGGATTTTTTTATTTTTTTGGGGGCGATTTTTTTGGGGGCGATTTTTTTGGGTTTTTTGGGGTTTTTTTTGGGATTTTGGGGTCATATTTGGGTTGAGTTTTTGGGATTTTTTTGGGGGTTTTGTGGGGATTTTTGGGGGGAATTTGGGATTCTTGGGGTTTTTTTCGGGGAGTTTTTGGAGATTTTTCCGGGATTTTCAGGGTGAATTTCTGGGGATTTTTTGGGGTAATTTTGGGGTTTTTTGGTTTTTTTTTAAAGGTTTTTAGGGATTTTTTTGGGGGGAATTTTTGGGGTATTTTGGGGGTTTTTTGGTTTTTTTTTGGCGAATTTTTTGGGGTTTTTTTGAGCGATTTTTGGAGTTTTTTAGGGATTTTTTTGGCATTTTTGGGGGATTTTTTGCATCATTTTTAAGGCAGTTTTGGGGACTTTTTTCGGTATTTTTGGGAGTTTTTTGGGGATTTTTGGGGTTTTTTGGGATTTTTTGAGGGTTTTTTTTGGGTTTTTTTGGAATGTTTTTGGGACTTTTTGGGGCTTTTTATGGGTTTTTTTGGGTATTTTTTGGGCATTTTTGAGGAAATTTTTGGGTTTTTTTTTGGCGAATTTTTTGGGGGTTTTTTGAGCGATTTTTGGGTTTTTTTTAGGGATTTTTTTGGCATTTTGGGGGGATTTTTTGCATCATTTTAAAGGCAGTTTTGGGGACTTTTTTCGGTATTTTTGGGAGTTTTTTGGGGGTTGTTTTGGGCTTTTTTGGATTTTTTGGGGCATTTTTGGATGATTTTTGGTGATTACTTAGGGGTTTTTGGGGGTTTTTTGGATGATTTTGGGGGATTTTTTTGGGGTTTTTAGGGGGAAATTTTGGATTTTTTGGGATTTTTTACGGGATTTTTTGGGGATTTTTTGGGTTTTTTTGGAGGTTTTTTGGGGATTTTTTTGGGGGATTTTTGGGGAAATTTTTGGGGTGTTTTTAGGAATTTTTTTGGCATTTTTGGGGTTTTTTTGTGGGGATTTTGGGATTTTTTAGGGCATTTTTTGGGGATTTTGGGGTCATTTTTGGAGGATATTTTGGGGTTTTTTGGGGGGATTTTTGGGGATTTTTTGGGTATTTTTGGGATTTTTTGGGGGATTTTTGGATTTTTTAGGGGATTTTTAGAGATTATTTTAGGGTTTTTTAGGTTTTTTTTGGGGCAATTTTGGGGGCTTTTTGGGTGATTTTGGGTTAATTTTGGGGCCATTTTTGGGCAATTTTTGGGATTTTTTGGAGTTTTTTTGGGAATTTTTGGGGTTTTCTTCGTGTTTCTTGGGGTTTTTTTGGAGATTTTTTGCGCCATTTTGGGGGCATTTTTGGGCAGTTTTTTTTGGTATTTTAGGGATTTTTTGGGATTTTTTTGAGGGATTTTTGAGGTTTTTTGGATAATTTTTGGGGATTTTTTTGGGGGATTTTTGGGTTTTTTGGGGGTTTTGGGGTTTTTTTTGGGAATTTTTGGGATGAATTTTTGGTGTTTTTTGGAGGATTTTTGGGTTTTTTGGGGGGGACTTACGGCATTTTTGGGGGATTTTTGGGTTTTTTGGGGGGATTTTTTGGGGTTTTTTGGGGTTTGGGGGATTTTTTGCGTCATTTTTCGTTGATTTTTGGGCATTTTTTCGGTATTTTTGGGATTTTTTGGGGTTTTTTGGGGTTTTTTTGGGTGTTTTTGTGGATTTTTGCGCCATTTTTGGGGCATTTATGGGGATTTTTTTCGGTATTTTGGGGATTTTTTGAGATTTTTTGGGGGGATTTTTGGGGATTTTTTTGGTTTTTTTAGGGATTTTTTTTGAGTTTTGGGGGGATTTTTTCAAAGTATTTTGGGATTTTTTGGGGGGATTTTGGGGGTTTTTTTCAGTATTTTGGGGATTTTTTTGGATTTTTTTGGGTCAATTTTGGTCTTTTTTTGGGTAATTTTTGGGTCATTTTTGGGGGTTTTTGGGTTAATTTTCGGGATTTTTGGGTAATTTTCGGGATTTTTTGAGTTAATTTTGGGTCAATTTTTGGGTGTTTTAGGGTCATTTTTGGGGGTTTTTTGGGTTAATTTTGGGGTGATTTTTGGGTCAATTTTTGGGATTTTTGGGGTTAATTTTGGGCTAATTTTTGGGGTAATTTTGTGTCAATTTTGGGTAATTTTTGGGTCAATTTTTGAGATTTTCAGATTCATTTTTGGTCATTTTTGGGGTAATTTTGTGTCAATTTCGGGTAATTATTGGGTCAATTTTTGGGATTTTCGGATTCATTTTTGGTCAATTTTGGGGTCACTTTTGGGGGTTTTTGAGCGATTTTTGGGGTTTTTTAGGTATTTTTTTGGCATTTTTGGGGGATTTTTTGGGTCATGTTTGGGATTTTTTGGGGATTTTTTTCGGTATTTTGGGAGTTTTTTGGGGATTTTTTTTGGTATTTTAGGGATTTTTTGGGATTTTCGGTATGAATTTTTGGTGGTTTTTGGGGGATTTGTTGGACATTTGTGGGGGATTTTTTGGGACTTTTGGTGACTTTTGGGGGTTTTGGGGGATTTTTGGGAATTTTTTAGAGTTTTCTTGGGGTTTTTTGGGATTTTTGCGGGTTTTTTCGGGTTTTTTTTGGAGATTTTTGGGGTTTGTTGGGGTTTTTTTTTGAGGTTTTTTTGGGGATTTTTTAGGGATTTTTTTTGAGTTTTTCTGGAGATTTTTGGGGTTTTTAGGGGATTTTTTTGGGTCATTTTGGGGTTTTTGGGGGGTTTTTTCCAGGCGGTCCTCGATGCGGCTCTGCGGGGATATTTTGGGGGGATTTTGGGGTTTTTGGGATTTTGGGAGATTTTTGGGATTTTTTAGGGGGTTTTTTGGGATTTTTTGGGATTTTTTTGGGGAATTTTTGGGGGGTTTTTAGAGTTTTTTTGAGGATTTTTGGGGCTTTTTTGGTGTTTTTTGGAGGATTTTTGGGTTTTTTGGGGGGG